GAGGCGTCCCGCCTGGCGCATTACAACAAGCGCTCGACCATCACGTCGCGGGAGATCCAGACGGCCGTGCGCCTGCTGCTGCCCGGGGAGCTGGCCAAGCACGCCGTGTCCGAGGGCACCAAGGCCGTCACCAAGTACACCAGCTCCAAGTGAGCCCGCCTGCAGCCGACCGCAACCCAAAGGCTCTTTTCAGAGCCACTTAAGTTTTACCAAGAAGGAGCCGTTGCGCTTTACATATTGAAAAACGCACGGTGTTCCGTGTAAGCGTCGGCGTCCCGAATCACGTTCTCCAGGAACACCTCGAGCGGGTCTCGGGTAAGTGAGGCCGGATGGGGGCTTGGCGGTGCCTGCATGTCGTCGCGCAGCACGTAACGGTGGCGCTGGGCACCACCCAGTCCCAGTCCCAGTCCCTACCTTTGCCGCAGCTAGACCTGATGACATTATAGATGGGAACCCTAAGGCCAAAAGTAAAAATTGGCGCGCTCCAGAGGGAAGGGGCGGGGACACAGTCGTGAACCCTTCAGATAAACTGAAAACTAGAGCTGCGCGGGCGGGAAAGCCTCACCGTTCTGGTTCTGCCTCCTTCCTCGTTCCAAAGGTGGAGGAGGGAAGTCCCGAAGCTTTTGAGTCTCTGAGGCCGTCTTGGGTGGAGGTGAGGCAGTCTTTTCGGTGCCTTCGCAGGGGAAAGCGGCTGCTGTGGAGTCAGGTGTGAATATTTGAGGCAAGAAAAAGAAGTTAGCGAATGTGGGTCTCCGCTAGCTACTTGCCAAGCTGCAGATGCGAGCACAAGGTACAGTGAGGTTCTTCGGCTCCTCGGAATAGGAATGGAAAGATGGGCTTCTGGCTTCAGCTCCGCCACTTGCTGAGCATGGGTGTCCTGAACCCCACTGAGTGCCGATCTGTGGAATGCACATACTGCTAGCAAACGCACGGGGTACGGTATGGCTTGTTCCAGGGCCCGGGGTGTGCGAACTTCTTAGAACAGCTCTATGAAGTAGGTACAGTCATCTCCGTCTCTCAAATAAGGCAAAACAGAAGTAACTTTCCCAAGTTGACACAGCAAAAAATGGAGTGAATGGAATTTAAGCTTCCAAATTTTGAGTCCGTGCTTGTAGTAGGATCTACTGTCTGTTTCATAATCCCCACATTTGTGAGAACGGCAAGTGCAAATGAAGACTGAAAACAGGCCTTTGCTTCTACCAGTCATTCTTTCATGGTAACTACTCATTTATTCAAATTTATTGGGCATCAACTATGTTCCCAGAGCAGGGCTAGGTTCTTAGCACAACAAGGCCACTTCTTGGCTCTGTGTCTTGCAGCAGATTACATAAGGCATGGATCTCTATATCTTTCTTCTCTAAAATGGGAATAACTTGAAGATTATTTTGATAAATGTAGAGGGAGCTTGCAGCTTTTATTGTCTCAATATTCATTTGTCTTTTTGTCCTTCTATCTTTTCATATGTATTAGAATCACATGACATAATAAGTGTGAAGACACATTATTACAATAGGAAAGCATTTTGCTACAGGAAAGCCAATAAGTCAATTATAGTCTGCCCAAAATTCTATTTATGACCTTCTGCCACCCTGTTGCAATAAGGTATTAACAAAACTGCAGTAATATTTATTTATTACTCTTTACAGGTTCTAAAATAAATCTCTGTAATAGTAGACTAACTCAAAGTGATCAAAGTTAACTATTTCTACCTTGCCTTCCAATAATCTTCAGTGACTTTACTAGCAAAGAAGATGCCAAAGTGGATTTTAAAATGCTTTTCTTGCTGCCCCCCAAAACCCAACTGTATTTCCTAAACCATTCTTCCATCCAATTAACTAACATTTTATTTAGCATTTACTGTTCACTGTAGGCTGCTCATTGTATGTTGGGTTAGGAATGGAAATTCCTGAACAAGACTCCGTGATCGTAATTCTCATTCATCACTGGTGGCCCTGAAAATAGGTAAAACTTTCATGGAGGAAAATTTGGCAATATCTCTCAAAACAATGCATATATTTTTACACCCACAAACACCACCTCAAATTGCACCATTCTTGAAAATGTACAAAGTGGCATATTAGGGTTTTGCAACAGCCCAGTTTGTAGGACAAATGACTAGGAGCAATCTGAGTGATCAAAAACAAGGGAATGAGGGGCGCCTGGGTGGCTCAGTTGGTTAAGCGACTGCCTTCGGCTCAGGTCATGATCCTGGAGTCCCGGGATCGAGTCCCGCATCGGGCTCCCTGCTCGGCAGGGAGTCTGCTTCTCCCTCTGACCCTCCCCCCTCTCATGCTCTCTCTCTCTCATTCTCTCTCTCAAATAAATAAATAAAATCTTTAAAAAAAAAAAAAAAAACAAGGGAATGAATTACAATGCATTATTCTATCTGATGGTAAAAACAATTGAGAATGCTCTTCTTCATAATAACAGTACCTAGTAATTATTGCTTACCAGATAATGTCCTAAATTTATTGCCAGATAATGTCCTAAAAGATTCCTTACATACATCCAATTATTTAACAACCTTATGAGTTAAATTACTACTATGCCTGTTTTATAGATTATAAAATGGGGATTCAGAGAGGTTGAGTAAATTGCCTGAGGTTGCACAGCTAATGAGTAGTGAAAACATAATTTTTTTAAAAATCTAGCTTCAGACGCCATATTTGTAACCACTGTATATTATCAGCCTTTATCAGGTATTGATATGTGATGATTTCCAAGATCTACTGGCAAGTGCAAAAAGTACAGGGTAGTGTGCAGTAGAACTTTCTACATGTGTGTTTATACGATTGTAAAATATCTCTAGAGGGATACTAGGTAAGCTGCCATGGATGAAGGGAAGATCTTTTCAGTTGTAACCCTTTTATGCTCTTTGAATTTTAAATCATGGATGCATTGCCACTGAATGAATGAATGAATGAATGAATGAATGAATCTGGGAATCTCCCTGCTCAAATATTGATAAAATAATATTAATAAATAAATGCCTCAGTAAAGACGTGTGTGGAAAGCCTCAGGAGCACAGGATAGATAATGTTCCCAGTAGGGGTGGGGGTGATACACAACTCTTCTAGGCAGATGAAGTAAGAAAATGGGTATCACATTCCAAGAATCAGTAGTAGTTGGTGGGACTAGAGTCTACAAGGGTAGGCAGAAGAGAGCAGCCCAAGGGACTGAGCAATAAGTCTGACGGAATGTTAAACCCAGGGCTTCATTCTGTACTAGGCGCAGGCTCCTTAAAATGATGACAGGACCTC